GRWKAGTGTATGTGAGGAGGTRAGTGTATRTGAAGAGATGAGGGGTGAAAAAGTGRAAAAGTGATATCAAGAGTATCTTGGTCATTTAGTATTTTAAKACTTTAAGACTTTTGTTAAATTTGYTTTATAAGATAGTATAGATGATCATAATTTACTTTTAGTATTGTTACCAGATGCTATAATAATCCATGTATATTCAACACTCGGTACAAACTCCAGCTGATGCTATAATAGCACAACTGTCACAAAGCAACCACAAAAAAAAAACTAAATCAACAAATCATTAAATCACGACGATAATTTTACATGTAGCAAACAAATCAAGTAGTTAAAATGTTACCAGCACAATGTTGCAGGAAGTAAAATTATTATAAACGATTATAAAAAGGGATGTAAATGAATAACATRAAACAAGATTAAACCAAACCTCAGTTTAAGCATTTCCAAACTGACATAAATGGATTATTGTGGGTTTCTAGTTCCCAAAAGATACCACCAATGGACTTTGGCCAAACCAACCAACTTCCATTGAAGGCAAAAAACAACATCCGTCATCCAAATTAGATAAAAGTTGAACAACATAAACAAAACAACTCGTAACACATACTACATCAAAACAAATGTCATTGTCTTATCATCGCTAGTCGATGCAACCAAACTCGTAACCATTGAATATACCAAACGTGCAATGTGCCAACAGTGTCATTGCCTTGTTCTCCGACATGTTCTACAGGTCCAATGTAATTGTCTTGTCCCATATCTTTCGCTGCCAATTGACATATCTGCAATAACAAAAGCTAAAATCCCACAGAGATTAAAAAAAACAAAACCAATAAACCTTATTCAAATATTTGCTTCATCCCATTTTCAAAATCCTATGATCACCTCACCAGAAACAAACTGATAATTGCAAACAAATGATTGTTGCTAGAATTTTTTATATCTTGTCTTCCCTGGTTTGAATCAAACCCAGGTGCTGCCAAAGCCCATAATGTTGAGATAGATGCTTAATTTAGTTTGAGTCCTTGACTTGATAGAGTTGGATTATAAAAAAGGCAATAATAGTATCAAGCACGTAAAGTGATCCAAAGTTGTATATCAACCTCAAACCCATCAGAGTTTATGTTCTTATAGGTGTTAACAAGGCAATAAGGCAATATAAGGGGCCCTTTACCAAATATTTTACCGGTAAGCGCTTACCGGTAAAATTCAACACTACCATTTACTTACCGGGTAAGATTATAGTTCACAAAAATGATATTTTTTGCAACAATTTACTCGGTAAGCGCTTACCGTGGTAAGAGTCATCACCCTCACTTGTCGGGTAAGACTATTGTCCTTGTCTTGTTCTTACCAGGTAAAATTTTTGGTCCCTACCATATCTATCTAGTAAGATAATATGACTTGGTAAACTCTTACCCAAGTAAGCGTTATCAAACACTTCACCGGTAAGCGCTTACGGGTAAAATTTAACACTATCATTTACTTACCGGGTAAGATTATAGTTCACAAAACGATATTATTTGCAACAATTTACATGGTAAGCGCTTACCGTGGTAATAAGCCATCACATGTGATTGTTCCCTAAATCTTCAATATTTGCGACACAGCAGACAATACATTCCATTATTCAATTTCTTCTGATTCAGATAAATCTTACTTGAATGAATGTCGGCAGTAGGCGCTGAAATTGATCTTGCTGCACATCATGTACTGCTATTAAAATCCAAATATCTCATTAATGCATGGGTCAAAGTTAGTCATTGTCATATAACAACTTTCAGTATCATTTTGTAAGCAAGATACGAATGAACAAGGCAAAGAAAAGACTTGAAAGAAATCACCCAGCAACACAGATCAACAATGGATCACTGGTTCTCGATTCCAATAACCCTAATATGTCCTTTGCAATGGCCTTGTAGCTACACAACACCATGTTTACCTCCCAACTATTCTAAATACAATCTATATGGTTGGGCACTCCCTTTCGCTGCCATCTTATATGATGTAACTATTCAAAACCATAATCAGAGATCTGTTTTGGCAAGGTCCAAAGTTCAGGATTGTAGATCTACAACCACCTTTGAATGAACAAGATACAAAGCATACCATCTAATCACATAAATATTAGGCATTAGTATCAAAGTTTCCTTTTTATTCATGTCGGTTGCATAAAACCAATTTACTGCTGCTACCTCTAAGTACAGCTCCAAAAACTCAACTATCTGTGCCACAAACAATAAGTTTACCAGATCACAGTAATCAAGACCTAACATTTCATCTAAATTTGTAAATGAAGTCACCAACAAACAATAGGAGATCTTTTGTCACTCACTCTATGTGACTGCCCAAGATCGGGGGATCCAAGATAAGCTAAAACAATAGAGACGTTCTTATCTGACATCTATCCTTTTTTTCCTGAGAAAGARAAGAATGCTAATCAAATAGCAGGAAAAGTTCAGGTGGAGGTTTACTTATGGATGTTAATGATTTGGTCATTGTTGCTTATTCATGGTTGTGTGATCAAAGCAGATCCATTTTGCTGTAGCAAAAATTATTTGTTGATGTACATATTGCCGAGGACACAAGTCCAGAAGTGAACACTACAGAGCGTGATCCATGAATTGCTTAGATGGTCTTATGACATTTCCATGGATAGCGTGTACATAGTATGGCATATAGAAGCTTTAATGTCAAATATTTATTAGATACAACATATTTATAAAGAAAGCAATAAACATGCTGGCAGATCAGTTGTGTGGGATCATAGTCTTATGGTAGAGATGGTTTGCCATCCCTCATTCTTTGCCTAGGGGTATTTCAAAGTTTTGCAAGAGGATGTTCAGGTCTTGCCACTTCGCGTTTTTATTGTACATAAGTTATTCTTGTATAATGCCTCTGGTTGCCACTTCGTCTTTTTACCTTTTCTGTAATGGAGCAAAACCATCTTGTCACTGGGTATCTATTAATAACACCACCTATGTGCTAGATTGTTAAGGAGAGCGATTAAGCCATGTTGCATTTTAAGAATGGTTTTTGTCCTTAAGAAACTATAGATTAGAAAAGGAAAATTATACGAAAAGTTTAAAAGGCTGTGTTCATACACTTGCTCGGTGTTGCATTGTCATGCTCGGTGTTGCATTGTTCCATGGGTGAACTCTAGAAGTAGTAGAAAGCAACAAGAAATAAAGAACATTACACATACCTTATGGTACATGCCATCACGATAGAGTGTATACTTCTCCAAAAAAGTACACCAATCCCCATGGCCTGGTTCACACCACCATTCATCTTATACCTGAAAATAATTTGACACCTAGGAAGTTGGCTGKATATGTTCTCCATTCAAAATATACCAATGTTACAGAGCTGTATAATTACCGGATAGCATGATGCCTTTTAACAAATACATGACAGATAATTCACAACTAAGGTATAGAGAAGTCACCAWAAACAAACTGATAATTGCAAGAAATGAATCAAATGGTTCGACGATTTATTTACAAATGATTGTTGCTAGAATTTTTTATATCTCGTCTTCCTGGGTTTGATTCAAACCCAGGCGCTGCCAAAGCCCATAATGTTGAGATAGATGCTTTATTTAGTTTGAGTCCTTGACTTGATAGAGTTGGATTATAAAAAAGGCAATAATAGCATCAAGCACGTAAATGATCCAAAGTTGTATATTAACATCAAACCCATCAGAGTTTATGTTCTTATAGGTGTTAACAATGTAATAAGGCAATATAAGGGGCCCTTTTACCAAACATTTTACCGGTAAGCGCTTACGGGTAAAATTCAACACTATCATTTACTTAACGGGTAAGATTATAGTTCACAAAAACGATATTCTTTGCAACAATTTACTCGGTAAGCGCTTACCATGGTAAGAGTCATCACCCTCACTTGTCGGGTAAGACTATTGTCCTTGTCTCGTTCTTACCGGGTAAAATTTTTGGTCCCTACCATATCTATCTAGTAAGATAATATGACTTGGTAAACTCCTACCCAAGTAAGCGTTACCAAACACTTCACCAATCACTACAATAAATTCTTTGAAGTGGAGTAATTTCTAAAATTTTATATAACGCAAAAAGTTGGCGCATATATTCAACCTTTTTGTACAATCTTCCATAAGCCTCCCACCACTTTCTTTGAGAAGAAGATCTTCTGTCTGCAACTGCTTCAGAAGCAGCAAGTACAAAGCTCGCAGCCACGAGCAGATCTCTTACATCTTCATCCACAAGTTTAAGAAGCCTAAAATTTATGCCAATGACTCCATTGGTGGATTCGACATTGAAGGGTTAGCGAATGGGTTGTGTTGGAAGTTGTTGCAAAGGCATAAGAAGCAAAAAGAACACCAAAATTGATTTAAAAACAAAAGAAGAATATAGAATGCAAGTAATTAAACAAAATCTCACTGAAAGATAATCTATATTTGTTGATCAAGCTAAATTCAAGAAACACCCACAAAATCTAACATCATAAGAAATAAAAATATGAAAAACAAAGAAATTGAAAACTTAATATCAGTTACATGGAAAAACACAAAAAAAAGTGAAAAAAATTAGAAACAGATTAACTTTGTAGATTTGATGCATCAGTTGTTATGAGCAAGTTATATACCACCTTCACATTTCATGGATCTGTATTTTACCATAAAAAAGAATCAAGACAATTTCACAATGACTACAAGAAAAGCTTCCAATCTCAGCAGCAAATCTTACCCTATACACAACACAAATGCTTGTTACCATCTAGTAACTACAACCATGCCATGTATCTGCATACCCAAATAATAAATTAGTGCATTGATCACTCAAAAGCAATCTTAAAGCAATTCCAAATTGAAAATCATTGACAAAAACATATACGATACCGTAGGAGTTTACTTTACCAAACTACCTTCTAAGGATACCAAGCAAACATATACACATATAACAAAACATAACTCTTTGCACATGTAAGACTCCTAAACACATACAGCCCATAATCAGAGTGTACCTTAATTGGCACCAGATTTCACTATAGCATTACTAACAATCTCTGCTTGCTCTATCAAAAGGTCCACCTTCTCCAAGAAACCCTTAAGTTCTAGCACCTTAAGATTCTTTCACTTCTTCTCCATCTCCACCTTCTAGCCCGCAGCCCCCCAACCACATTTGATCAAACTCAAAATTTGAACAGAAGACCTACAATACTCAGAAATTATAATTGCTATGTAATAGAGGATTCTTACCTCTAAGTTGTAAATAGCCTTGGCTTCATCAATCGCATACTATGAATCATTCGGTTAAACCAAAAAAAGAGAAAGAAAGTTAAAATCTCATCAGCAGAGTAGTGGCAGAAATCAAAATTGAAATATAAATCAATATCGTTTTGAAGAGCATACCTCCAGATTAAAGCGCTTAATCTCTAGATCAAGCTAGATACCTTTCTCCATAAACAACCTAATGATATTCAGTTATAATAAGCACTTCAATTCATGGCAATAGACATATAGGTATAATCACACACACAAGAAAGTTCCCGCACAACAAATAGATGCGTAAACCGAACAATTTCAATACAAATTAAGAACTATCATTATCCGCAAAGATAACCTAACAACCATTATTAGATGTGTGTAACTATTCAATGTAGACATCAGATTTTGCTCCAAGATATATTAAATCTCCATGATGATTCAAAGTAGAAATTAACTCATAAACTGAGTAGAACTACATATAACTGAACTAATCCGAAATCGAACCAGAAAAGAGAGACTATCCTATGCAATGCTTATGTTACATTACCTCTGGAACAAACGCTTCAATAAACCTTCCGTAACACTGGTCGTTGAGATTATAGGAAATCGTATAGGGTTTATGAAATCGAAATGGGATAGGATGAAATCGTTTTTAGGGTTGCGATAAAAATGGGATTGGGAATTAAACGATTTCATCGAATTGGTTAGGAGTGATAGATTGGGATTGAGATTGGGATTAGGATTAGGGTTGTGATAAAAAATGGGATTGGGTTTAGAAACGGGAGTTTAGGATAGCATGTTTTAGTAGGTTGTACCTAAAGTAATAGAAGTTGTTTTTAAGAGTTTAAGAGATTAAGAGTTTTAGCCAAATGTATTATAAGATAGTATAGATGACTTCACTAAACTATTCAGATTACATTTCTTCCCTCTTTACCCTTCCACACCCTTTACCAGCCGCGCTCATCGTCTCCTTCACCCAAGTCGTCGCCTTGCACAGGTTGCCGGTTATCACCTCCATCTTCTCCATCGCCGGTGACCTCCGCCTCTGTGTCATCGGTCGCGCTTTCCACAGCTTCGTCGGTCTCGCTTCTATCAGGTAACTTGTCTCCCGTTATCTTCCGTTTGGTCGCCGGTCGCTAGTCGTCGGTCGCCGCTGCTCCTCCCACCCCTCCTTCCTCCTTCCTCCTTCCAATCGATCTCGTCTCCTCCCATGAGTTGCTGCCTCTCCCAAATTGCTGCTGTGTCGCCTTCCACGAGTTGATTCAAAGGGGTTTGCAGTGTCGATGGTTCCTCCCACCCTCGTTCCTTCTTTTACCTTTCACAGCCCCCTTGCTACTGTGTTCAATTTCTCAAATCTGTTTTATTGAGTTGCGAAATTAGTGTTACCACGCCGCGCCACGTCAGAAGTCAATAACCGGTTTAAATAATCCATCAAAACGCCCCTCAACTTTTCGTTCCTGCTTTAAAAAATTAGCAGTCGGCAACCTTCGAATCCAACGAGAAGCAAATCATCGATTCCGGCCTGCAAACCCAGACAACCTGTTTCTCCGGTGATCTCCTGTACTGCCGGCCGGCGATCTCTCTCTTATCTTCTCTCTTCCCCTCTTCTCTCTTTAATTTCTCCGCCGACGAGCCCTCCCGCCCTTCTCATAGAGATCGCAGCAGCAACCCTACCCCCTCCATCGACCCTCTGAGCAGCGAAACGGTAAAAAAGTTGAAAAACGGCAAGTTGGGGCGACAAGCTTTCAACCCCGTGTTGGCCACAGAAGCCAACAAATTGGCTATACAGCTTGCACATTCTCGGTCTAGATCTCGTTCCAATACCGGGGCGCCCAGCCATCTTCATCTTTGGCTCCGAGTCCCATCTCCATCATCTGAGTTTACTGTAACTTTAATGTTCTTCAAAAAATTTAAAACCTCCATCTCCATCTCCATCCATCTTCTGGGTTTTTTTTGGTTTAGGTCTTGATTTGAGTTTTGGATGTAGGGTTGAAGTTCCTCTATACATCTGAAATTGTCATCTGATGGATCCTTCTATGATGAAGTTCCTCGAAGAAGACGAGGTTATATGAACATACCCTTCTATGATTGTGTGTGTATTTTGATTGCAATGACCTAATTGGTGTTAAATCTTTGATGTGTTTGATTATGTACTTGGGGTTTTATCTTCACAGGACGAAACAATGCATTCAGGGGCAGACGTTGAGGCATTCACTGCTGCCCTAAACAGGGATATTGAAGGGGATAATACTTCAATATCTCAGCCTCCCACTGGTACAGATGCTGGCAGTGGTATTTCACAATTCTTAAACTTTTCTTTAGTTTTTGTGTACACTTCTATTTTGGATACAAACAGAGATGGCACTTTCAGTTTGGATGTCAAACGAGCTACTTTTCAACTTCAAAGAAGGGTACTGAAAAATCCAAAATTTATGAAACAATGGAATTGCTTAACCTTGGGTATCGTAGTTCATGTCTATTGCACTGTATAGCTATGTTCAAGTGCTTCTTAACAACAATAGCCATGGTTTACCCCCATTACCTTCATGGTGTTTGTCCAGCATTAGGTTTTGTTTCCATGATGTCAACAACAATCCCATCAATGATGACTTCTGGATCCAAACAACCAGTTCTCTATCCTCTAAGCCACTTCTATACTTCCCTCCCTATGAGTAGAGACTATAAGTTGTTTGGCAAGCTTGGTTTCTATATTTCATTCATTTCTTATGAGCTTTGTTTGTATTTTGCATCCGTCCTGAGAGCAAAAGTGGGTTGGCTTTCATTATTTATGGACCACTAGCCCAATCATCATTATTGCTCATTAGCATTACTCTTGTTGTATACATCCGTGCAAAGACAAAGAAATAGAGGCAAATGAGACAGGAGGGGGTATCAAACACAGACCAGTCTTGAATCTATTTTTTGAACTAATTTCTAATCTTGACTGGTAGTAAAACGCAATGATATAATTAGACCCATGCAGATGAATAGAAGTAGGTTTTGGTGAAGATGAACTTAGAAGACATTGGCTTGTAGACATGATTTATTTAGCTGCATGCTGATTTGGTTTCTATTGTATAATTCTATTATTGATAGGCTTTCATATATACCTTTTTAGAGAAAATAGGCTTTGAATGAATTAATTTTCAGGAAGAAGAAGCCTAATAGGCCCTGTACAAATAATAAAAGATTTGGTAATAAATACCAAATATGCTAGACTAATTACATATTTTAAGACAACCTGTAATCTATATATATATATATTAAAAGAAAAACCAAGAGTATTGAGGTGGCATCATGAGAATTGAGTATTGAGGTGTTGGTGAATTGTGGTTGAGTTTCAGATATCCCACATTGGTGAGAGATTGAAATATTGGAATAAGAATGTGTGTATAAGAAAGAAGGATGAGATTTATTGTGTTAGCTCATGAGGCTTGAGTCATAAGGTTATCTTATTTGGATGACCCTAATTTTGCAAAACAAATCTTATTTTATAAAAATAAAAAATGAATTGTGTTTACAATCATCAATATATATATATATATATATATATATGTGTGTGTGTGTGTGTGTGTGTGTGTCTATATGTATGTGTGTATATATATAAAGAAGAACCAAGAGGTAATCAGTTGCATCATGAGGTAATTAGGTATCTATATATTGAAGTATTGGTTAATTGTGGTTGAGTTTGACATATCTTACTTTGATGAGAGATTGAAAGATTAGAATAAAGAGATGTGTATAAGGGAAAAAAATGATGAAATTCATTGTGTCAACTCAAAAAGCTTGATTCATAAGCTTATCGTATTTGGATGACTCTTTTTTGCAAAACAAATCTTATTATATAAAAATAAATTGTGTTTACAATCATCAATATATATATATACATATCAATCTTCATATATATATATATATATATATCTAAACATATCAATCTTCAAATAAAAAAATAACATAGTCATCTCATGCCACACAAACCACAATGTTGTTTTGCTTATAGTTGCTATACATGCATTCAAGAAAGAGGAGCTGTTAATATAAGATGTAGATGTTTGTTGTAGTCGTAAACCAATCCATGTAATAAGTAACCTTATAGTATTTTTTAATTATAACTTTTACCATGCATGTGGTTTGATTTATTTGTCAACTTTATGTCATTTTTTGTATCCATTTATTTTAAAATATATCATTTAATAGTAATCTACATAGCAGATAATTAAACTATGATTGTTACTAATAATTTTTACCATACAACATATTTCATAGCACTATATATTAATTAAATAAGTTTGAAACCAATCTTTATAAACCAAATTGACAATAGCAATTATTTCAAAATCGCAATTTCATCACTATAAATATTACATATAAACTTGCAATATAGTCCATTTAAAAATAGATTTTAGAAAATAAACAAGTAAACCAAAATATACATAGACAAAAAACAAGAAGTATTCTGTTAATAGCTCAAGCAATTTTTAGAAAATAAATTAAATTACTTTTATTGATAATAGCTAAGAATATTGGTCGTATTTTATTAGGGCAATCTCCGGAATGGTATGAAAATTTTCGAGATTGGAATAGAGAAATTTATTTAAGATGCAGCTTGGATGGTACTCAATTCTACAAAAAAAATTCCTAAAAATTGGTTAAAAGAAGGTTAATCTAAATACAAAAGTATGCCAAATATATAGATCTGGTTCACTATTAAGCTATTCTAGAAGGATATTAGATTAGCTGATTATATTTTCTACACCCTCCCTCAAGATGGTGCATAGAGATTCCACATGCCCAACTTGCAAACTAAAGTATCGAAACTTCCTTTTGGTAGACCTTTAGTCAGTATATCGGGCTTACTCGTAAGTATACATTACATAATTCCTTCCCATCAAGTTCTTCTTTGATGAAATGTTTATCCACTTTGACATTGTTGGTTATGTCATGATGAACTGGATTATATGCTATGTTGTTTGCTGATTTGTTGTCGCTATACAGTCTTAAGGGATCCCTTCTCTGAAATTTTAACTCGTTAAGAACACGTTTAATCAAGATTAGTTCATAGATTCCTTGAGCAAGAGCTCTAGGTTCAACTTTGGCACTACTTCGAGATACCATCATTTGCTTCTAACTTTTCCAAGTGACTAGGTTTCCCCAAACTTTAGTGCAGTTCTCAGTAGTTGATCTTTTGTCTTCACTTGATCCTTCCCAACCTACATCTATAAAGGCTTCAACACTTCGTTTTTTTTAACCAACAACCCAGTACGCAGTTTCTAGTCTTCTCTTCAGATAGCACAAGATCTTATACATAGCTTTCAAGTGTTCTTTTAGAGGATTGTGTATGTATTGACTCACCTAAATCACCGTGAATGCAATGTCAGGTATTGTATGAGATAGGTAGATTAGTTTACCCTCTAACTGTTGATGTTCCTTAGTCAACAGTCTCCTGTTTGTATTTCTCTTGGTTCAAACTTCAAACGGTGCTGCCACAAGTTTACACCACTTATTCCAGGTTCTTTGAGAAGATCAAGAATATTTTCTCTACGAGACCGCAACGCCTTGTTTTGTTCTTCCGACCTTCATTCCTGGAAAATACTTCATTGGTCCAAGATCCTTTACTTCACTATGAGATAGGTAGATTAGTTTACTCTCTAACTGTTGATGTTCCTTGGTCAACAGTCTCTTGTTTGTACTTGTATCTTGGTTCAAACTTCAAACGGTGTTGCCACAAGTTTACACCACTTATTCCAGGTTCTTTGAGAAGATCAAGAATATTTTCTCTGTGAGACTGCAACGCCTTGTTTTGTTCTTCCGACCTTCATTCCTAGAAGATACTTCATTGGTCCAAGATCCTTTACTTCAAATTCTTGGGCTAGTACACCTTTAAGCTTTTCTTCTTTTCATAATTATCACGTGTTACCGACATGTCATTAACATAGACGATGGGGATAATAATCTTATCCCCTTGTGAGGTGTTTGAAGAATAAGGTGTGATCTAACAGAGCTTGTGTATATCCACTCCTTTTTATCACTTGATTCAGTCTTTCGACCATGCTCTTGGAGATTGTTTTAGACCATATAAGGATTTTTTTCCAAGTGACAGACATCCTCCCTTCATAACTTCCTTATCATGAAAACTTCTTATTCCAAATGTCCTATAAATAAAAACATTTGTGATGTCTAGCTATTGTAAGGGCTGGTCAAGATTGATTGCAATTGATAAAAGAGCTCTTACCGTGTTTCACTTGGCGAATGTCGCATTGTAGTCCACGCCAAATCTCTGAGTGAACCCTTTTTGCATCTACCCTCGCTTTATATCGAGCTATCATTCCATGAGCTTTTACACCCCACTACATGTTTATTACTAGGTCGATTGATGATTGTTCATATGTTCTCGGTTTCCGGTGCCCTAATTTCCTCAAACACGACTTTCTTTCATTCTTGCTATGCAAGAGCTTCGATAATGTTCTTGGGAACAACTACTTTATCGAATTTTGCTAGGAAAGCTTTATAGCATGGATTTAGGGGTTGTTCGGTTCATTTTCCATTAAGCCATGTATGAATAAAGATGTCTATATTGATAAATCTGTCTGTATGATATTTGTTAAGTTGTTGTTCGGTTGTTATGTTGAATAAACAATCTGAATGGTGAAAATGACTATTTTACCCTTCACTAGAGAGAAACCTTCTCATTCATTCACTGGAGAGAAACCTTCATCAAGAAGGCAAATCGAGCAGGTTTGGGGTGTGCTCGACCAATTTCAGGAAGGCAAATCGAGCAGGTAAGTCAAGAAGGCAAATCGAGCAGGTTTNGCAAATCGAGCAGGTTTGGGGTGTGCTCGACCAATTTCAGGAAGGCAAATCGAGCAGGTAAGTCAAGAAGGCAAATCGAGCAGGTCGAGCAGGTTTGGGGTGTGTGTTGGGGACAATTTCATGATTTGCAGGTTTGGGGTGTGGTCGTTCAATTTCACGACCGCTGCTTGACGCCCCCCAAACTTCCTCCACCCCAACGGCGAGTGAGTCCCATCCACCACCATCCTTTGTTTTCACCTTCTCTGTTGGACCTCTAACCTCGCCTCCGGTGTACTAATCCTTGCCGGAAACATCTCAGAAGGTGGAAGGTTGTAGAAACTCACATAGATAGACCATAGTCTATCTCGGTTTTATTGTTTGGTTATGGTTGCAGATGGTAAAAACGCATTAGAAAGCTCGAAAGAGACCAGATGCAAATGGCCACCGTGGGAGAGAGCATGTACGGATGGTTGTGGTGGTGGTGGTCGGAGGTGGAGGGAGTTGGGTGAAGGGTTCCATTATAGGGGAAAAGAGGGAAAGGGTAGATTTGGAATAAATGGTTGAATAAGTGGCTGAGTCCATAGGACTCCACTTTTTTGGCTGACCGGTTAAGCCATTGGCTGACCGAATAAGCCAGAAGCGAACAACAATATATGGCTGACCGAATAAGCTATACAAGCTTAACAGTCCATGAAGCCATTACCCTTGGTTTAAAAATGCGTGCATAATGCGCTCTGATGCGTTGGAGGTAACGCATCAGATGGGCTGATGCGAAGATATTCCATGATGCGCTCACATCACCTACGCATCACACGTTGCATGCATCACCTATGCATCAACGCATCCTGTATATTTCATGTTTGGGCTCCCTTTTTCAGTTTTTAGTTGGGCTTTTTAGTTGATTAAAATAGAACGTGAGACTGAATGGTGACCTAATAGAAGAAGCCGACAGCCACTAATAGAGCATCAAGAGGGAGCCGGAGGGTAAATGATGATGGGTCGGGTCCATCAAGAACTAGAAGTGCTAGAGGAAAAGGACATGCTCTTCAGGATGAAGATGATGAAGTTGAGGTGGGAGTAGATATTGGAGGGTTTGATTATGATGAGGGAGATGAACCTGTGTTGGGGTTTGATGATGCTGACCTTGGGGAGTATTAGTTGGTCACTTGGTCATTTAGTTTAGGGATTGGGGACTATTAGACATTTACTTGTGTTCTTCATGGTAGTAGTTTGTGTGTTCTGTTATTCCGATTCACGAACTTTTTAAGATTCTAATGCCACTTTTTGAACTATTTTATGTTATAAATGAAGTATTTTGATAGGTAAGTATTTTTAAGGTAGAAATTGATATGTAGAATTAATTTATAAATATTTTTTGAATACCGAGCGCATCACGTGCGTGATGCGAGCGCATCAACATCACACATCGGCTTCCGGCACCCTTACCGCCTCGGACCGCATCGCGCTTTTTTAAAACCAAGCCATTACCGAACAACCCCTTAGTCTGCTATAGCAAACATACTTGGAGATCAGATGTTTAGTGCAACTTTGAACTCCCTTTCTTTTGGTAATAGGTAACTCTGGCTTGGGTTTAATGATACTGGAAGGTTCAATGTTAGATATCATTGGATAAATTAGGGTCAAGAGAGGGATTACTTACATCAGGAATTGTTTGTGGGTTAGCCTTGTGACTTGTGAGATGCTAGAACAGTATTCGGCTGCATTACTTGTTTCTCTTTTTGTTGCCAAGAGTAAACTAAGAAATCCTTAGTTTTGGGTGGTTGAGATTATTGTTGTTGCTTAGAGGGGCTAGTATTAAGTTCTAGAGATTCAGGATTTATTTTAGGAAGGCAAGTATCCTAACTTGGAATATCACTCACATTCCCTCTCTGATGGAGAAGGTTGGAATAAAAAGGTTGTTCTTCATTGAATGTCACGTCGAAGGATACATACATGCCATGAGTAGATGGATGATAAGATTTGTACCCTTTTTGTATAAGAGTATCCCAAGAAGAACGCAATTAAGAGCCCCGGGATCAAATTTAGACGTATTTGAGCCAAAGATATGAACATAGGAGGTACACTAAACGTTTTCAAGGGAAGATTAGAAACAAATTGTGTATGTTGATATGCTTGAAGGAGCATAATTAGAGGATTGTGACATTTTAACACTCGAGAAGGCATTCTTTTGATAAGAAAGGCAACAATAAGGATAGCCTCTCCCAAAAAATGTGTTGGGACTGAAGTTTTGTACCTCAAGGCTCTAGCAATTTCCAATGGGTGTCGATGTTTGCATTCAACAATACCATTTTGTTGGGGGTGAGCTTGCACTTGAGCTTTTAAGTAATGATGCCATAAGAGAGAAGATATTCACCCATGATTGAGTTAAAAATATTCGGTTCCATTGTCTGTGTGCAATATTTGAAGATTTGCATGGAATTGGTTGTGTATCATAGAATGGAAATTTTTGAATGTTATGGCAGCATCAAATTTATTTTTGAGAAGAAATACCCAACTAACATGTATATGATCATTAATAAGAGTGATAAAGCATCTCGTAGCTGTAGTGTTTGGTATTCTAGATGGCAAAAGGTTGAGTTGATGGGTAAGGAATATAACTAAAAATAACATAGGCATGTTTAGCAAATTGGCAAGCTTCACATTTAAACAAGCTCAAGTTTTTATTCTGAAATTAATTGGGAAACCAGGGCGGTGAAGCCTATAATGCCATCACATAATATCATTATTATCCGAAGGAATACAACCGAAAAAAGAAGCTTTATTCACTTAAGTGGGAGAAACTGGATCAAAGTAATACAACTCGTTGCATACCCTTGCATTACCAATTGTCTTCCCCGAGGATGTATCCTGAAAAGTACAATGCAGTGGTGAGAAGGAAACAAAGCATGACTAATCTTTTGCTATAATGCTAATAGAAAGAAGATTGCAGAATAGATTGGGAACCTGGAGAACATTATTAAGGATAATAAATGATGATAGATGTATAGCCCCTTTACCAGCCACAGAAGAGAGACCGTCATCAACTTCAATTTTTTGGTTACCTGGACAAGGAGTGTATGTGGCAAACTGATTTGACTGACCGGTCATGTGGTTCGAAGCCCCTGAATCCACAATCAAGGCATGAGTTTGAACATTGAGGGCAACAGAAGTACGTGGATTGGAGGAGGCAGCAACAGCTAAAGCAAGAGCTGTAGTGACCGTGTTTAGAAGCTGCTGGAGTTGAGAAATTTGGGCCGGAGTGAATGGGAAAGGTTCTGGTGGTGTTGGAGTCAATTTTTGTCTGCTTGAGTTGTTACGTGCAGATGAAAGAGGTTTCCACTAAGCGGTCTTGCCTCAGACCTTCCAGCAATGTTCGTTGTCATGACTGACTTTGTTGCAACGGGAACACCAGGGACGTTTTCTGCGAGTTCCATGTGTGTCCATACCATTATTGGAGTGTCGGCAACAAGGGCAGCTTGTTCAGTAGCAATTGGTGATCCCAACATCATCCTCCTTTGACTTTCTTCCCTACGAACTTCTGTAAAAGCTTCACGAGGTGTCAAATGGAGTTTTGTTGGTCAAATGAAGTGGGAGAAGCAACTAGAGGTTTTGATTCTTGGTGTAGTCAACAGAGTTGTCATTATTGACAGTTGGAATTGGACATGAGGAAGGCTGAAAAAATAAACTTTTGGAGTCTCTTTAATTAGTGGTACAACTTTGATACCATGTGAGAATATGTGGAACTCTCGGATTAATCTCTAACAGATCCATCAAGGAGAGAAGTGAGGTCTCAACATATGTAGAGGAGAAATGGTCCAAGTCTAGCCAATGTGAGACTTTAACACGCCCCCTCCGATGGAGGTTAGATGGGCACAAATTGTCTTGAGTGTCAAGAGAGGGCTAGACGGGTGAGGGGGAGTACAGATTGCCCCAGAGTGTCGAGGCCCTAGAGTGATAGATCTTGGCTCTAATGCCATGTAGAGAAACTAGGTTTTGGATGAATTATTATTCAAGGAGAAGGAAGCCTTTTAATAGGCTGTGTAGAAATAAGAAAATATTTGGTAACAAATACCAAATATGCTTAGACTAATTACAGAGATTCAAGGACAGCCTAATTAATCTAAATACAGAAACTATACCAAATATACAGATCTATTCTCTATCCTAGAGAGCTACTCAAGCTATTGATTATATTTTCTACTAGCTTCTTTTAGATTTTGCGCATATAAAGGCATTTGATATAATAACTTTTCAGATGGTAATATGTGTTAATTGATGTATATCCATCCTTTTTGTTATTGTTTTCCCTTTTTATTTTTCCATCCTCTTTTTATTCCCACCAACTATTTATTAATATTGCAGCTTTATCTCAAGGAACCAATCATACTCCAAGTCAGTTGTTTCAACAGTGGCAATCATCCAGCCGTGAAGGCAATGCTAGTTACTCTAGCCAAGAGGAAGTTAAGGCACAGATACAAGAGCAGCAATCATCTGCAATGGAAGTAAATCGACAGGGATCTGGTTCTGAGAGTCAACATCTACCAAATGACACCCCGCGTGAAATGAATCACATCCCATCTGAACCGAGCAGACCCCAAGATGATTTGGCGCAACAGCAAGCTGACCAACATAATGTTCACATGTCTCAAACCACTAATATCCAGAACGCTGATAAGAATCACGGCCATCGTCAAGAGCCAAATATAGCACGGAACCCAGACAATGAATCTCAGTTGCAAAGGATGCATAGAATGGGTAATCAGCAAGCGATGGCAACAGGGCAAGCAGCTAATACAATGAATCGGCCTTCAGGCAAGCAAGTGCCATTTGCACTGTTGCTCCCAGTTATAGAACCACAGCTTGACAAAGACAGGGCTATGCAACTCCAGGGTCTCTATGTTCGATTAAGGGTATAATTTAGGGTTTGATTTTTTAGCAACCTCTATTTGTTAATTTCTTCCTTTTTTCTTTTTCTGTTTTGGGTGTTTTATGTATCTGTTTTATTAACCCAAGGTCATGCTGATATCTATTCTATTTCCAGAACAATAACATTAACAAAGAAGAATTTGTCCGGCACATGAGAAGTCTTGTAGGAGATCATATGCTTAAGATGGCAGTCTATAAGTTACAACAAGGGCAGGTAAAGAAAACACTTCCCTTCGTCTATTTATAGGTGCTTCACATATTTCTTCTTTTAGATGTTTACATTCTTATATTTAAAAATATTACTCCCTTTGTTATTTGTGCAACAACTTGATTTTCTCTAATATCATAGTAGGCTCAATATTTGAAGAGTAAAAGTTGTAAACTAAAATAAATTTTCTTCACTTATATGCACCTTAACTCGCTTCTTTAAGTGCAAATGTCAATGGGCCACTTAAATAGGAGCAGATTTAGTGCAATGTGTTTTTCTTTGACAAAACAGATATAATGTGTTTTTGCTTACTCATACATGTTTTGATTTGTTGCAAGTAATATCAACACCAATCTGAAATACAGGCGCTAAAGATGGAGAATGCATCTAACCAAATTTCTAATCCTGCTCAGCTTTCTGCTAAACACAATATTCAAAAGCCATCTTCATATGTTCCACCTTCCTCTGCCCATCAATCATCCGATTCAAGTAGTTTGCCAATGGATAGTAATGCTCAAAAATCACGGTTGTTGGAACACCAATCAGATTCACATGGAATACAAGCAAGCCATATGTCTTCTAATATTAATGCTATTAAGCAAGATAGGGAGCAGCCCTTTCCGTTACAGGGACTTGGCAAGCAACAACAGCAACAGCAACAACATATGCACTTTCCACAGTCGTCCTTTCCTACTTATGGAAATACTGGTGGTAATTATCACCCAGGTTCTAGTGCAAATATGAATATGTCCTCACAGTCTTTTAAACAGCAGAGCCATGATTTACAAATGAGGCAAGGTCCAGTTCATCCTAGCATGGGAGCAAGTCAGGCCATGAGTTTGCCAGAGAGGCAAAATGCATTTAGTGACATAAAAAGAATGCACGGGGGAGGTCTCACTCATTTCACAAGTAATTCAGGCCACTGGCAACCATCAATGCATAAAGATCAGAGTCTTCTGTCATCAATGGCCTATGTAAAACCAGAACCTGTGGATCAGATGAATGATCAACAACATAAATCCCAGCTGTCAGCACAACAGGGGACATCTTCATTCTCTCCAGGACAGCATGAACAAGGGAGTGCAATTTCAGGGCCTTCAAAAGATGAAACTTTTGAGATGCTGTCTTCAAGGCCCAATTTCTCAACGTCAATGAGTAAACCAGAGGCTATGTCCATCACAGCGCAGCTGGAACGCCAGAATGTGGTAATATGACCTTTTCTATGGTTTTTGTTTTTCTTTATTTCTGGAACGAGGCATACAGGCTGGAGTAACACAACCAAATGTAACCCGAATCATAACATGTCTTTATTTATGTTGAGAAGCCTACAGGGAAATGGTGGCGCATGAGATAATAGCTAATAATACTGTTACCAAGAAGCCAGCTTTTGATACTGCATATTGTCCCTAGGCATTTAGTTGTGCATTCCTGTTGCATACTGGTGTGTACATAACCTGGTCCATGTGCTGTGTTTACTTGTAAATCATATTACCTGGATCAGTTTAGGCATAATTGTTTTAAGAAAATTCCTCCTAGGATGCTTTAAGCACAACCCCAACTCTCCATTAGTTCGTTATCAGTCACTAGATTGAATGTTTCAAAAAATTACATTGTAATTAAGCAGGACTGATCAGGTTAGGTGGTTTCTATTGATAATTGGCTATTGCCATCTGTATTAGGAAGTTGTGGTTCTTCACTAGGATATCGAGTCTGTAAGAATGACCTTTCTTTCCTTGGCATGGCATAGTAGGGTTACGAGAGAATGTGATTGGAAGTTCTCTTAACAGTATTTCAGAATGAATATTCATGACAATCAGATTATTCAACTTATTGTTATGTATGATTTAGCCTTTCCTTTTTTGCATCTTGGTTGTTTAACCGTAGAAGCAAGGTAAAAACTTTCCAGTGTTCTCTTCAAGGCTCGAGCTGGTTCTCACTGTCTTCTTGTTCATTCTATTTATCTTTTTTCTTGCCTACAAATGTTACTTTTTTGAACCCTTGCAAGTGAAGTTTTTACAACAATCAATGTGATAGTGACATTTTTATTGTTAACAGGTAGCTTAATAAGCGTGCTTTGTGGATTAATGCTTATTACTTGATCTCCCCACTATATATTAATATTAGGAGTCGTCCTTTTTATCACATTTTGATCAGTTTTGTTAATAGTTAAGCTCTCTAATACAGTTACAGTCTGCTGCAAACTCTTCATTGGCATCCGGAAGTAATGCAAAGACTCCTCCCAAAAAGCCATCCGTTGGCCAGAAAAAACCATTGGAAGCACCTGTTTCTTCACTAAGGTAAGTATGACTTTTGTAGTCCAAAAAATTGATTTTGCTCTTACTCTTTCTTCTATGTATATTGTTGTTTTTCTGACATCTCCAGTAAGAAGCAAAAAGTGTCTGGAGCATTTTCGGATCAAAGTATTGAGCAACTTAACGATGTGACTGCTGTCAGTGGAGTGAATCTCAGGGTATATTCTCTTCCATATGAAGGATGGTGATGGCATTTATCTGGAAAAAGCAATAAATTAACACAGTTCACTATCCTTGTCATCTGGTCCACTAGGAAGAGGAAGAACAACTATTCTCTGGGTCCAAGGAAGACACTCGAGTTTCAGAAGCTTCACGAAAGGTTGTCCAAGAAGAAGAAGAAAGGTTGATTTTGCAGAAAACTCCACTCCAGAAGAAATTGGCTGAAATCAGTTAAGACTTTCATTCGTTCTCATAATTCCATGACACAACTTATGCACATACAACCTCAATGGGATGTTGCTTACAGTTTAATGGTTGTTTAATTGTTTAACAGTGGCAAAATGTGGTATAAAGAACAGAAGCAATGATGTGGAACGGTGCTTGTCACTGGTAAGCTTCAAAAGTTATATTGCCTTGTAATTATGAGATTATACAGTTTTATACAACTTGGTATTCAGTGTGTAGAAGAAAGAATGCGTGGATTAATTAGCAACCTGATCAGACTTTCAAAACAGGTCAGTAGTTTGTGTTGGTATATTCCTTTTTGTGTGCCATCTTTCCCAAAATTTGAGTCCACTTCTGATTTTTGAAATGGATTCTTTTGATTTTTTATCTTCAAAATACTCTGTTATAAGAATTGTCATATAGTTAAATTAAATATGTCTTCTCAAGTTTCAAGTTCAAAAGTTTAACTCATTTGACACTCAACAAAAAGGCAAATGTGGATTCCTTTTTGGGATGGAGGTAGTAGAAATTACTAAAAGAGCTGAATGGGAAAGAATGATTCATGTAATGAATGGTTAAAACAAAATTCTAGCGGGTTGACATTGAGAAGCCAAGACACCGGACCGTCATCACGTCAGATGTTCGACAGCAAATCATGTCAATGAATCAAAAAGCTCGGGATGAATGGGAGAAGAAGCAGGCTGATGCTGAAAAACTCCAAAGAGCTGATGAGGCAAGTGTCACATTGTTTTGCAAGTTAGATTATATAATGCCAACAAGGTTTGAAAAGTTTGATTTTTGTAAATGCAGCCTGAAGGTAGTGCTGGAATTGACGGTGATGATGGTCGTGGGAAAAATTCTAAGGTAATAGAAGATATAGTTGCTGTAGGACCATTTCAAGTCATTTTTTGAAAATTTCCATATATTTGAAGGTAAACAAAGAGGAAGATGATAAGATGCGAACGACAGCTGCCAATGTTGCTGCGCGAGCGGCCGTGGGAGGAGATGACATGCTCTCGAAATGGCAACTAATGGCTGAGCAGGCTAGACAGAAACGTGAAGGTGGGGCTGATGCAGCATCTACTTCTCAGCCAAGTATAGATGTTGGTCCTAAGCCTGTGTCAACTTCTGAGAGGAATTTTAAAGATAATCCAGATATGGAGAGGAGCTCTAGTGCTGTCACTTCTACTCCTGGTCAGTATCCTATCTCTTTTATTACTTCAGGTTATCCTTCCACACCCTTCTTTGGTGATCTATGTTACAAATTGCTAAATGCTAATAACCGGCCCCACCTGTTGGCTATTATACTCTATCAATCGTACTCATCCCTAAGAATTTTTAATGATGATTTTTCTTTGGATTCCTACATTTCACAGTCTACCCTGTTTGATAAGCATAGCTTCACTACAAATGGATCGATTAGAGCAACTTACAAATGGAAAGTAATCTTTATCCAGGAAAAAAATGGACTGTAATGCCATAGATAATAAGGAGCAACTGTTATTTAGTTTGGATGATATCTATATTATATTCTGGCTTTTAAGATCAAATTATCAGTTAGAGAAGGCCCTATGCAGTTTTGTCAAGCATATTTCTTGGTTCTTTGAAAGAAAAATTCTTAATAACCACTGAATGGCTCAACGATTTATTGATTTAGACATCTTTGCCTGTTTCTCCAATTGTGTTATTAGTCATCTAGTTTGCCTCTTAGGCCTGTTTGTTAAAAGTTAAAACTAGATAAATAGATGTTGAATGGATGAGATTTGAATAATTTACATGCTCTGTTTCGGATAATTGCTGCATGAAAAATGATTGTTTGATAATCGTTCTGAATGAAAAGTCCGAATTTCAGAAAACTACCATTATAACGTTTGATCCAGAATAAGTGGTGATGAAAAATGATTGTGTGACAAGTGTTCTGAATTTCAGAAAACTATCATTATAGCATTTTCTTGTCTTTTTTATTTAATTGTATTTTTTTTGTTATTCTATTTTAAAAAATTGCAATACAACTTATTGATGCACCCCAACCACCCTCACCCATCCACCTCTCTTCCTCCCCTAGACGCCCCACAATCTGGCAAACCCCTCCGGCCTCCGGTCATTTGTCATCATCTCCGGCAAAACCCACATCTGAACTAGAATTCTGAAACCAACCCATATCCAAAGTCAGAAACTCAAATTCACAATCAAACTCAATCCAAAATAAAAAACTCAAATTCAAAATAGAAAAACTCCAATCCAAAATCAAAGTCTAATTCCAAAATGTCTCTCTGATTGATCTTTTCGAATGCAAAAAACACAAAACCCACAAACCTTTTTCATGGTTTTATACATCCAGTTATTTAAAAGAAATGTCGCACCCACTTAAGCCCAGGCCCATCAGTATGTGACGGATTTTAGAAAAGGATAAAAGGGGTATTTTAGTGATTTTGGGGAATTAATCTATTTGGGGGGGGGGGGGGAAGGGTGTTTTGGTATTTAGATTAAATTGTTGCTAAGGAGTATAAATAGGAGGGGAAGGAGGTAGAATGAGCATCCAAAAAAATTATCTTCTACTATTTTGATTAGAAGAGGCTAGCCTCTCAAAAGCTAGAATCCTTTTTGTTTCTTCAGTGAAATAAATGACAATTGCATTTTGTATTCCCTTGTTTGTTTGAATTCATCCGGTTCATAACAAATTGGTATCAGAGTTGTTCCAGATTTAAAGTTGGACCCACCATTTATGAGTTTTCGAAACAAATCCATGGCCACATGTACTATTTGTGAAGAGGTACGTACCACTCTATTGAAGTGAAAAGGGGCTGTTTAGAGTTAGGTCCACCATTTCCGAGATTTAGAAATAAAATCCATGACCATATGTACTATTCATGAAGTGGTATGTACCACTTTATTGAAGGCAGGTTTCTACATCGCTCCCAATCGAAATGACGGTTCTCATCCGTTGGAGATCGCATTGGGAGGATTCACCCCAACTGATGAGGAGGTATCATGGAAAGTTTCCGAATCTCATCCATGACTGCCTCGTGGTTACGGCAACGATTACAAAAGGAGAAGAAAATAAGAAGAGAGAGAATGGGAAGAAGGTACTACATAGAGAAGGGAAGAGAGAACTTACAATAAGAGAGGGAATATTAGATTATAATTCCAACATTGGAAGGTTGGAGTCGGTGAAGAATTGTTCTCCCTACAGTCTAGAATCGAAAATTTGGGTTTCCTCTCAGAACTGGATTTATATCTCCACCATCTCAAGTTGGTTCGATGACCATATCCTTTGACATATCCTTGAGTTTTGTGGAAAGAAATGTTGTCGACCGGACTGTTTCAACGAACCACTATGCAAGGACTGTTTCGACGAACCACTATGCAACTACCCCAAGAATTACAAAAACAAACGACAACCTGTTTTGGCCTAACCCACAATTGGCCCACGAGACGACCAAAACAACCAAGGTCCTGCTGCATCACGACCTTGACCTGCTTTAGAGTTGACATCTCACCACGTTTTTCCCATTATCTGACCAGTCCTTCAATTTTCAAGACAACGTTTTGGTGGAGAGTAACGTAGGAAATGAAGGTACAATGAGGACGACTGTTGAGTGAAGGGTTGGGGACTTGGAAAATAGAAGCTTCGCAAGGGGAATGGGGTCGATTTTGAAGCGAGAACTTTTTAGAGCGACACATAAGGGAAAGTCTCCTAGTGATCCTAAGAACTTGCAGAAGCAAAGAGACTACCAAGAACATAAAATTGAAGAAATGGGAGAAATATTGAGGGTTGTGGAAGGAAAGAAAACCTTGTTTTCAGACCTGATAATTGGGGAGGGCACTCGTTTAAAGATTGTGGAGACTATGTTTGATGAAGCCTTCCGCAAATTCAAGTGGGTACCTTATGGGGTTAAACGGATACGGTGTTCCAATCATGGTTGGTTCCCTTGGGATCATCGATGAAAAATACATAGAGATTATCGAGAGATTTTCTAGTCTTTGGTCAATAGGGTTGCTATCCTGGAAAATTCTTGGATGAATTTTTTATAATAGCCCGTCAAATCAAGAAAATTTCCAATCTTCAACACAGATGTTAGCTAGTTTCACCTTGATTCCCTCTACGTTGATTACTTGACCAAGAAACTGTACCTTTTGCACCTAAATTCACATTTCGAGAATTTGGCATATAACAGCTCCTTTCCTAGAAGTTTGAGATTCTTTCTCAAATGTTGTTCGTGCTCATCTTTGCTCCTTGAATAGACAAGGATGAAGTCTATAAAAACTATGATAGACTTGTCTAAATATGGTTCACACTTGATCCGTCAAGTCTATGGATGTCATAGGTGTGTTCGACAACCCAAATGGCATTACCACAAATTCATAATGATCATACCTAGTCCTGAAAGCTGTCTTGGCACATCCTCCTCCTGAACCTTCAACGATATAACCCGGTCTCAAATCAGTATTTGAGAAATGACAGGCTCCTTGTAACTAATCTAACATATAATTGATCCTTAGTTAATATTTAGAACCCAAATAAGCCTTTGGGATCTCTTTGTATTAACCCAAATAATGCCATCCTTAGAAGTTAAACTTCCTACTTTGGGCAGAACATGCCTCTCCACTTCTCCTTTACAATTTTGGCCCAACTAAAATAAAACCCGTTTGGACTTTGGAGTATCCATAATGGAGGAACCTACAAGAACCTCACTTTCCATCTTTTTTTTTGTCGCATGATCGCCACTTAAAACACGATAAGAACCTCAACCAAAGGGCTTTCGGCCATATATAAGTATTATATACTTAAAAAAGAATCAACAATGGAACCAGTAGAATAGAGTTATGTTTCATCGTATGTAAACATCCTCACCAAGGCTCTTCTAGACTTGTATAACATATACAACCGAGTGTTGAATTGTTTCGTATAAAAAATAGGAGATGACAATAACAGCAATTTCTACATATTGTGTAGTTGTAAACTGCCATTCAAAGAAAACCATCGACTTGATAACCTCCGCAAGAAAATTTTGTATTTCTGTAATGCATGTTTATTTAGTAATCGAACGGTTTTGCAGTTATATAATTGGTATATGAATGTAACACAGGTGGTCCAGCAGCAAGGATGAAGAAATCAGATTTCGGGGAGAGTGATGCGATAACGATAGCACGTAGTATCTCAGTGAAGGATGTGATATCTGTTCTGGGAAGGGAGATTCAGATGTCAAGATCCACGTTAATATACCGACTCTATGAAAGACTACGTTCCGACTCTGAATAGCCATCTATCTGCTATCTGCTATCTGCTATCTGCTATCTGCTATCTGCTATCTGCTATCTTGAATGAATGGATGAGAGGAGTTCAGATTGTTGGAATGCTAAATTTCCTAACAAATGTGTATCTGAAATTCATTCAATCAAACAAATGCCTTTTTGTAGACTTAAAAGAGGGACATTTTGATTCTAATTTTATAGCATCATTTTCTTGTGTCGTATGTGTCATTGCTGTACCACAAAACTTGCAACAATCCTTTCAAATTAGCGTTGGAAAGGAGATGCAAAGGTCGTTGGGTCTTGTTTCTTGAATGCAACAACGAGGGAAGGGTTTCGATGATGAGGGAAGGAGATGCAGTGTTTCGGTTGTGGGGAGAAGCAACGATGATAGGTGACATAAGGAGTGAGGTCACCGGGAACTTGCTTGTCAGGAGACTCGAGTCACACATAGGCGTGCGCGAGGGTGCAGGGGAATAGAGGCGCTACAGTTGTATCGAGCATGTTTCCTCGAGGTAGGAGTGGTCATTTTGTTGGTTGAATATGGACAAATGAGGTTTTTATCTGTGCGAGTAAAGACAATACATTTTTTCATTAAGCTTTAGATAAACACCCTAACATGGTAGATCGAATAAGCCCAACAAACCATTAAGTCTATTAAGTTATAAAGTAAACAACCTCTAAATCAAATTGTAAAAAGTAGCTTTTAATATACCCCTAATTAATATAAATTATTATTTATTATTAATAAATGTTAATTATTAATGCCCTATTATTAATTAATCATTTATAAATTACTCATTAGTATTAAGTTAATAATAATTATTATTCTTATCAATTATCTTTATATTATCATTTATTATTCAAAATATTTAGTTGTCAACATACAAATATAACAAAAACTTTTTGTAAATTACATAAAATGTGTTTTTAGTTTCTATGGTTTGTTAAAAACTCCAACTTTCATCCCTATAGTTTTGAAATCTCAATTTTCATCCCTAAGGTCAAAATACTATTTTTGAGTATGAATGATTAAAATAGAAATGAATTGGAAACCATAGGAACGAAAAAAGTAATAAATTTTAAATCATAAGGACGAAAAAGGTAATAAATTATAAACCATAGGGATAAAAATCGTAATTTCAAATCCATAAGAACAAAAATATAAATTTTCAACAAACCAGAGTAGGGGTGAGCAGCGGAACCGGGTATCCGTTTGCGGAACCGGAACCGCCTTAGAACCGTCGGTTCCGGAACCTGAACCGATATGAGTGGTTCCGGTTCCTAAAATACGGAACCGATTGAGAACGGTTCCGGTTCCGGTTCTCAATTTTTCAGAACCGTTACCCGCCGGGTACCCGCCAGGACCAGTTCCGGGACCGGGTACCCAGAACCGGCGGGTACCCTGAACCGGAACCGGCGGGKACCCAGTGTTTTTCAATAAAAAAATAATTAATTTTTTTAATACCAAATGTATATTATGTTACATCTTCAAAGGACGTGGTCATCTTCATTCTTCATCAACTTTCTAGTTCTACTAAACTACACTTCATAGTATGTAATCGTTAAGTTTTGAACATTTATAATTATAGTATGTAATCGTTAAACTWTGAACATTTTCTATTAGTCTATTATGGTTTATAATCGTTAAACAATATTTGTAACCATTATTCCGTATAATTTGTATTCTTGTTTATTTAATTTAGTGTTTTGGCAATGTTTTGTTTTTTATTTCTAAATAACAAAATTTTAATATTTTAGGAAGCGGGTACCCGGAACCGGAACCGGTTCCCCGCGGTTCCGGTTCCAAAAATTCAAGAACCGCTCTAACCGGTTCCGGTTCCTGTTCCAATATCTCAAGAACCGCCGGTTCCGGTTCCAGTTCCGGTTCCTGTCAAAAAGGGCGGGTACCCGCCTATGCTCACCCCTAAACCACAGGGACTAGAAACATAATTAACTCTTACATAAAATTTAAAAGTAATATTTATTTTCTTTCATAAATGATAAAACTTTTCTAGTAAAATTTAATTTAATTAATTATTTTATTAATTAATAAAGATATGTAAGATTGACCAACTTTGTTTTTAATCATATTACTGGTTATATACATTCACAATGCGTCAAGATACAAAATTTGAATAAATGTTAGCAAAAATGCATAATACAACCAAATAATACAATTTTTTTTATTAACCTGCATATTTAACCCCGTTATGCGAGCTGACTAATCCCAGGACGACCATCCGCTTCACAGGTAGCTTAAAGTCACCGCATTTGAACCTCCGTAACCACAAAAAGATATAACTGAGATACAACCCATTTCAATATATATCAACACAGAAAAAGGTGTCCATCATTTGTTTCATTGGTTTCAATGTATTGTGATCCAAAAGCTAAAGCTCTGAGTCAATGTTGAGTGCATAAAAGGGTTGCATTGTTGGGTTGATATAAAAATTCTCTATTTCTGATATTTAAATAGCCAACAAGCACAACTGACGGACCGTTTACCTAAATGCTTATCCGATAAGCGTTTATTTTTAGAAGTCAACACTGTAATTTATTTACCGGGTAAGATTGTAGTATATCAAAATGGTGTCGTATGTAACAATTTACCCGGTAAGCATTTATCCGGGTAAGAGTCGTCACCATCACTTACCGAGTAAAACTCTTCATCTTTATCATTTCACTTACCAGGTAAGATTTTTGACCCTTGTCATGTTCATCCACTAAGAAAAATTACCCAGTTAGCACTTACCAGGTAAGTGTTTTGTAAACGGCCCTTGAGAAACAATCATAAAGCAACATGAACACAAGGAAGTAGATCACTTCTTTAAGTAAATTATGCATAAGTACAACTTATTAAAGCTTCATACTTGAATTCGTGTAACTAACTACAGATAAACATAGTCAAATATTGGATAAACATTTCATTTTATATATAAAAAATCTAAAATATATTTAGGATAAGCATTGTCTTCTAACTGAATACTTAATTATTATCTTTATAAAAATTTATATTATTAAATCAAAAATAAATTTACTTCATTACTAAACCTATTAAATTATAATTAAAAAAAGTTGAATTAAAGAAATTACACAATAAAACAAGAACTTTTAAATAGTTAATTTGATATTAATATTGATATATATTTTTTAAATTTTAAGATATCTTCAAATTTATATTTTATTCAAAAGTAAAAACATTATCGTTTTTCTCAAAACCACATAAAACCGTATTATAACATCGACAGGGGACAAAATAAAATGAAACATTAAAATCGAGATGCATCTCGCTGCATTCGCCAGTACCCTTCTAGTATATACATAGAGTAATTATTCGACGATTTAATTAAGTCTTAAAGCCAAAGCATCTGCAGAAACAACTAAGGGGCCGTTTACTAAACGCTTACCCGGTAAGTACTTACCGGGTAATGTTCCTCACCGGATGGACATGGCAAGGGCCAAGAATCTTACCCAATAAGAGCGATGATAAGGATGGAGAGTCTACCTGGTTGGTAAGTGATGGTGACGACTCTTACCCGGGAAGCGCTTACCAGATAAATTATTTCATAGAATACGTTTTGATGTACTATAATCCTACCCAATAAAATAAATTATAGTATTGACTTCTAATATTGAGTATTTACCGGATAAACATTCAGGTAAACAGAGCCTAATTATAAACGAATAGCATTATTTTATGGCTTCTTATCAAATGTTTATCGTATTAAAAATTCGGACCTGTATTTTGTTGATGTTCTGAGCCTGCTTTTCTAGTAAGCACCTTTGGATCTACAAGAAAAAAACATTAATACAAATATCTGTTGTGTGTTTGTTTATATAAAATCATAACCTATCAGTTTTAGTTTTTATCGAGATGGATCGGGAACCCATCAACGAATCGGGAACCCATCAAAATCGATCGATAACCAAATAAATGGAAGAAAAAAAAATTGAAGTATGTTAAGTTAAAACTGTAATATATTTATGATGAATATGCATAATGATCATTATGATGAAAATTAATATTTATGATAAATATTATATCAATATGAATACTAGGGAGTTGTATACACATCATACATAAAAATTCATGATAATGTTATAGTAAAAATGTATATTCATGATGAATATAATATTCATGTATGAATACCTAAAAATTGTTGTATACACGTGAATATATATATATATATATATATATATATATATATGATGAATAGTATGTATATTCGTGATGAATGTTATAGTGAAAATGTATATTGATGATGAAAGGTTGAGTTTCAGTGAGAAGGAAAGTTAAGGTGAAACGCGTAAGAAAGGATATCAACCCTTGGATGCACATTAGAATGAAATGCACCGAGATGAGATACACCGAGATGCAATGGATCAATCCACGTATCAAGTGCGGTTCATGGGTGGGTTTTTGAGATAAAAGGTGATTAAGGGACCAAATCATTTTTTACGTTTCTCACCTTAACTCTCATTCTCACACAATCATTCGTCTGATGATGAATATCATATTGATGTATAAAAATTGAAGAATTATTCTATACTCATGAATATATATATATATATATATATATATTTCTGATAATTGTTACAGTGAAAATATATATTCATGATGAATATGATACTGATGTATCAACATTGAAGAGTTGGTGTATATACGTGAATGTACATGAATATTTATGCCGGATAATATTTATATTCAACGAATCTTATAGTAAAAATGTATATTAATGATGAGTGTCATAATGATGTATGAATACTGATAATCTGTTGAATTCACGTGATAACACATAACTATTCATGATAAATGTTATAATGAGTTGTATATTCATGATGAATATCATGCTGATGTGTGTATGTTAAAGAGTTGTTGTATGAATATCATACAGATACATCATTTCATGTAAAAACGGTTCAAACAAAAAAAAATTTATATCAAGACGGATGTCAAACCGAAGAAAATGAAATACTCGTTTTTTTCATATAACTTATTTGATTAAAATATTAGTTATTTTTAAGATAATTTAGTTTCAAAATTGAGGTATAAGTTTTATAATTAAAAAGTAAAATAAAAACGGTTCTAAAAAACTTGTTGAAACGCTCAAGTCTAATATTATTTCTCGAGTCCAACTCAAACATGTTACTTGACTCATTAACGCTCCACCGTGCAAGAGATAAAATAAGAACCAAAAAAACTTAGAGTAAGGAATCG